CGTCAGAGATCTTGCAACTGGGATCGCCGCTACTGCTCCCAAGGCATTCGTCCTTGTGATCTCCAACCCAGTTAACTCGACTGTTCCTATTGTCGCAGAGGTGTCAAGAAGGCTGGTGTTTACGATCCCAAGCGGTAGGTTGGTAACTGCTGCACTCGATCCCGTTAACCAACACCGACTCAGTCTCTTTGGTGTTACTACTTTGGATGTTGTTCGCTCGTCAACTTTTGTCGCCGAGAAAATCGGAGATCTTTCTTTGTCCAAGGATGTTGTTGTACCAGTCGTTGGCGGTCACAGCGGTGTCACTGTAAGTCGTATATCACTCCACCTGGACAACCTCATTAACGGTTCCAACAGATCGTTCCCCTTCTCTCGCAATCCTCGCACCCACTGCCCGCCAGCGTCGACACTGCCTCTCTCGACGCTCTTGTGAACCGCATCCAGTTCGGCGGTGATGAAGTCGTCAAAGCCAAGGGTGGAGCAGGGTCTGCCACTTTGTCAATGGCTTACGCTGGTGCCGAGTTCGCTTCCAAAATTCTGCGTGCGGTCAAGGGCGAGGAGGGCATCGTCGCTCCCAGCTATGTCAGTCTGGAGGCCGACCCCGTTGGTGCTGCTGCTTTAACCAAGGAGCTCGGCGCTGAACTCGCGTACTTCTCCTCAAATATCGAGCTCGGCGTAAGGCTTCTCGTCGTCCTTTCGTTTATCTACGCTGACTTGATTTCTTCACGCAGCCTCAAGGTGTCGTCAAGATTAACCCTCTTGGAAAGATCACCGAGGCCGAACAAACCCTCATCAAGGCTGCTATTCCTGAACTCCAGAAGAACATTACAACTGTGAGTCAATCTCTGCAAAATCATGGGCTTTGATTGACGCTTTAACAGGGTGTTACCTTCATCACTGAGGCTAAGGTTGACGAGCCAAGACTGTAGAGTGATTGACAGAAAGGTCAACAGCTCCGTGTAGGATTCCTGTCATAGAAATAAATATTTGTAACCTGTAAGAAACATAACTAGACGATGGTACGAAGCGTACTTAACGAGAGATGCGATGCACATGTTCAACTTGAACTTCTTCAAGAACGAGAGAGAAAGTTTGAAGCAGGGAACACTGACTTTTCACGTTTAGACGTGTGCACTGCTCCGGCAACTTTATCATAATCACGTGTGTATTGCTCCCTTCCAAGTTCCAACGTCTCTTCTCCTCTACCTCGTTCTTAATCTCACCATCTATCTTCGCAGCACCTTTCTAGTCGTCGTCGGCCATGTACAGCTCTAAGCTTCCTATTATTGCGCTGCCGCACCCCCTCATCCTCTTACCGGCCTCTCGGTTTACCATGCCGGTGTCGAGGGAGATTGGAGAGGCACTACTATCTCTCATCGACGAGTCCGATACCTTGCCTGTCATTGCTGCAATCCCAATAACCAACCACTCTACTTCACCAAATACGGAGCCAGTACTCGCGGAATGGGGTACCGCAGCTCGTGTGCTTCGCCTTGTCAAACCACCAGCGCGTAATTCGCGTCAGCCGTACCTCGTTTCTCTCCACGGACTTACTCGTGTTCGGCTTATCCATACGTCGAAACATAGTCTTTCCTCGGAGGATTTGCTGCGTATGCCTATGCATGGCGTTGAATACCCGCCAACGGAAAAAGTCCCCTCTCATGAGACCGCCAGTAAATTCAAACAAAGTGCCTTGAGATTACTGGACCGACTAGCGAAGGATTCTTTGCAGCAGTCGAGAAAGGAAGGGTATCATAAGATTGCTAGTATGCTTGAGGACATCACCGATGCTCGGACACCGTGGATGGCGGATGTGCTAATTGGAAGTGTAAATGGAGAGTATGCCGATAAGCTCGGTGAGTTCTACCCGTCTACCTCCACTTGTCATATCCCTGCCTTTCAAAGTTACGGCTACGTGTCTAGGAAGTGATACCGAGACACGTTCTTTCTCTGTTCAACGTTTTATGGAATGGCTCGCTGCCATTTTTTCCCTTTGTTGTTCCCCGCTTTCTTCTTGCAATTGATCACTAAATCAAAAGATTGGCAGCTATTCTGAGTACTCCCGATGCTGAAGCACGTGTGCAAGTTGCCACCGACATATTCATCANACAGGCATCCATTTCAGAAGTTTCTAAAAAGATTGCCACGGCAGTCGACGAGTCGCTCTCCAAGCAACAGAAAGAATTCTTCCTGCGTCAGCAACTCACCGCTATACAGAGAGAACTACACGCCTTGCAACGATCAAACGGCCCCAACGGTATTGCTCCTCACTCCCCACTGTCTGGTGATGCCTCGAGCACATGGTCCAGCGAGCTAGACGACGATGAACAACATGAAGCAGATGATATGGCGGATTTGAAACGAAGGATTGAAGCTATGGAACCTGGTTCCGAAGAGCGCAAAATGGGTGTCAGAGAGTGGCGGAGACTGAAGCGAATTCCGCAAGGGAGTGTAGAAAACGGAGTGATCAGGTCATATGTATGTTCTGATATCTTTCTGTCGTTTCTTTCGCCAACAACGCGTGTTTGTAGCTTGAATGGCTTACCTCTATTCCCTGGCCTAATTCCACGCGTGTCTCTTCGGCACCGGAGCCTAGCCAGCTTCAGTTGAAAACGAGGCCTTTCCTTGCCGCTGCTCGTGCTCAGCTTGATGCGGACCACTTTGGCTTGGAAAAAATCAAGAAGCGTTTGATTGAATACTTAGCGGTGGTGAGGTTGAAAGAGTTGAATGCGGAAAGGGAGGCGAAGGAACTTGCACTTAAAGAGGCTTCTCAAGAGAGTCGGAGCGCAAAGGCGGCGCAGGAGGCTCGAAATATTGAGGGTGCGAACGCCCAAGAGACGAAGGACGGCAAGGAGCTTGTGGCCTATGACAAAAATCAACAACCACAGCCTCGGGTGCAACCTTCACTTGGAAAGCCTAGCCGGAATGGCAAGAAAGGCGTCAAGGGGCCCATTTTCCTGTAAGTGGCATGGGTTCTCCTCACAAGGTTCGTCGGGCCTCCTGGTACGGGCAAAACATCTCTTGGACAATCTGTCGCGAAAGCTTTAGATCGACCATTCCAGCGGATTTCGCTGGGTGGCGTACGAGACGAGGCGGAAATCAGAGGACATCGACGGACGTATGTAGCCAGCGAGAAGATCCACATTGCTCGTCGGTTCTTGCTTCCTAAACAGCTACAAGCGAACGGTCTTGACGCGTCACAAATCAATATCACCGAGCCAGCTCTGCTTCACATCACCACGAGGTATACACGCGAAGCCGGTGTACGAAGTCTCGAGCGCGCCATTGGTGGCGTGGTACGATACAAGGCTGTTGATTGGGCCCTTGACGGCACAACTCAAACCCAACAGCAGGAGGGGACAAGCTCAGGCACGTCGGTATCGCAGCTGAAGGAGTCTAAATCCCTTGTCGAGGAGCACGAGTTGGAGAAGATTCTTGGCATTGCAAGGTGGGATGGAGAAGAGAGGGAGAGGGAGGAGAGGAGGGGTGTTGTCTATGGACTTGTGGTCATGGGTCAGAGTGAAGGTGGAATCTTACCTGTGGAAACGATCGCTGTTCCTGGTTCTGGAAAGTTGAAACTTACTGGGAGTTTGGGTGATGTGAGCTTGCTAGTTTCGTTGTCCTTGCTTGTGGGTTGGCAACTCATTGTCCTTCGTTTTTCCAAGGTCATCAAAGAAAGTGGGGAACTGGCGTTGAGTTGGGTGAAGAGGCACGCGTATGACTTGTGTATCACCAATTCGCGGACGGAAGAACCTTTGAAGTTCCCTGATCCCATTGATATACATTTACACCTTCCTGCGGGTGCGCAGAAGAAGGATGGACCGAGTGCTGGCGTTGCTATGGTATGTTATGGCAAACTCGGTTGTTTCAGTGGCTGATTCTGTATGTCACAGACGTGTGCATTTGTGTCGTTGACTGGCACATGTGTTCCAGCCAACATCGCAATGACTGGCGAGGTACGTTTCCAATCTCTCCCTGTGGGTCAGAAACAAACAACTTACTCGCGATACCCTCAGATCACATTGCGTGATGCCCACCGAGCGCAGGTGACCAAAGTCATCCTACCTTGGGCGAACCGCAAGGACGTGGAACATGACGTTTTGCCTGAGATTCCAAATGAGATGGAGTTCGTCTTTGTGCGTACTGTTCGGGAGGCACTAGAGGCTGCGTTTGGTCGGGGCACGCTTGGGGGGAGTCGCTGCTTTTGGAGAGTAGGCTTTAGTGGCGCTCCTCTACTGGGGTTAGCAGACTGCAAATTACTGTCTGATGAAATTGTACATACCTTAATGTAAATGACCAGCGGGATGATCGACATGGGACATATTTGAGGTGCATTACAGGACCATCAACATTTGCCAAAATTTTACTGCTACGAGTATGATTTTGATGATCTAATGAATTAAAGTGCCTCCCAAACTCCCTGGCGAAGAAAAAAAAACTGTAATTAAAACATGAGACTCACGTACACAAACGTGTGTACCCCCATACGTGCAAGTAGCGTGCAGGAACGATAAGAAAAGACGAACAAGGATGACACAATTCAAGGTGATGATGATGGGTTGGTTCTATGCAAGGTTGTTTAATGGGTATTGAAACTGAAGTGATATCAAAACTGAGCACTGAGGTCCAAAGGGATATCCATACTGATTGATAAACTTGAAATCATGGGAAGTTCGCCAGATGGGACGGGGGCAAGCATTGAGGGGAGGAAAGCTGCTGAGAGGTGGAGAAACACGATGAGTGAGAAGAGGATGGAGTTTATTCTGACCATGACTCACTTGATCTCAAGAGCTTAGCTCGACAGCCACATCTTCCCGCCAAAGGGCCAATCTTGCTGCACGCTGATTCTGAATCCATTCTCTCTCCTTCTGCTCTGCTTGGAGGTATCTTTGCAGTTCTTCTTCCCACATTGGATGAGAGGCTGCCAGGAGGCGAAGGTCGTCTAGTAAGGTGGCGTCTCCATCCTCTGCATCCTCATCAACATCTTCAAGCACGTCAGCTAGCCCCTCCTCAGTTAATTTCCCCCCTTCCCCATTTCCATCACCGATAACGGTTGGCAAGCTGGTCGCCTGCCCTCCCCCATGTCCAGTTTGGTCATGTGGCAAATCTTCTCCACTCTCACCATTGAGAAAGGGATGATGGGATTGAACATCGAGATCTTCAGGGTTTGCGGTCGAGAGGAATGCTCGGTAACGATGGAGGCGGAGCTGCAAGCGTGCATGCATCATGAGGGGAGGTTCAAAGCGTTTGAACTGAATTTCAATAGTAATCAAAAAGAAATTGCCAATTGTCAATGAAAGACTTACTGATCTGCTCATGGGCATAGTAAACCGCCTAGGGAGGACATGCAAAAAGGAGTCGTTAA